CAGGAGGTCCCCAGGAGGCCCCCAGGAGGCCCCGCAACTCGGAGCTCTGAGACGCCGCGCTCGAGGTGGTCTGGCCCGTTTCGCCTGAGACTTCCTCGCAGCACGTTTCGCCCGAGAAAACGTCCTTCGTCAACTCGGGTCCGAGATGCCGCGCGCGAGGTGGTTCCAGCCCGTCAAGTTGTAGTACATCCTCGCAACTCTGGGCTCCGAGATGCACTGCGCGAGGTGGTCCGGCCCATCTCGCCTGAGACATCCTCGCAACTCTGAGCTCTGAGATGCCGTGCGCAAGGTGGTCTGGCCCGTTTCGCACAAGACATTCTCGCAACTCTGAGCTCTCAGATGCTGCGCAAGAGGTGGTCCAGCCTGGGGGCCCAGAAGACCACATGTGACATATCCCCCCTGGGACCCTGGGAGCCCCAGGAGGCCCCAGAGAGCTTCAGGAGGCCGCAGGACGCCCAGGACAGGCCTCAGGGGTCCGCAGGAGATTCCCAGGAGGCTCCCAGGAGGCCCCAGGATGCCCCCTATCAAAACGTGTCAAGTTAATACACATCCGGTGCCGATTCGTTGATGTTTCCTGCTCTTGTGCCCCCCCCATTTTGGGGGGCCCCGACGGCCACATGGTAGATATCCCCCCCTGGGAGCCCCAGGAGGCTTCAGGAAGCCCCAGGTGGGGTCCAGGAGGCCACAGGAGGCCCAGGAGGAAGCCCCAGGAGGTCACCAGGAGGTCCCAGGAGGCCCCAGGAGGCCCCCGCAACTCGGAGCTCTGAGACGCCGCGCTCGAGGTGGTCGGGCCCGTTTCGCCTGAGATTTCCTAGCAGCACGTTTCGTCCGAGACATCGCCGCAACTCTGGGGTCCGAAATGCCGCGCGCGAGGTGGTCCAGCCCGTTACGCTGGAGACATCCTCGCAACCCTGGGCTCCGAGATGCCGTTCGGGATGAAGAGGAGGTGGAGGAGGAGGAGCAGGAGGAGGAGGAGGAGGAGGAGGCATGTTTTAACATGCCATGCCAGCCCGCACTGGACGGGCACGCAATCGACCTTGGAAACCGCAGTGGGTCTAAAAGTCCTGTTTGGGGATACTGCACTCCGGCTATAATTTCCATTGAGGGAACTGCCTCGTTGCAAGACAACAGTTCGAAGATCCTGAAGCATGCCAAAAGATTGTGCTCTGGATTTCAACGCCACGGAACAACCTGACTGCTGCGTCTTGACGATCCCAAATCGTGCCACAACGCCATTTTTGGAACTTCAACACCGCCAACCAACATAACTGTTGCACCCGCATTTTCCAGAATCCTTCCAAAACACCATTTCGGAATCCGTGAAACTATTGCAAATGTGTAAAACGAGCGTGCGCGGCGCCAAGGCGAGAGCCAAATTTTGAAAAGGAACCACCCTCAATCCGTGAAGCCCTTGCAGAATGTTCGAAACGAATGTGCGCGGCGCTCAAGCGAGAACCATATTTTGAAAACCACCGCCCTCAATCCGTGAAGCTCTTGCAAATGTTTCAAAACGAATGTGCGCGGCGCTAAGGCGAAGAACCACATTATGAACATGACTCGCCCTCAATCCGTAAAACGATTGCAATTGTTTCAACAAGAATGTGGGTGGCGTTGTGGCGAGAACCACAGTTTGAAAACCACCTGCCCACAATCCGTGAAGCTCGTGCAAATTTCTCAAAACGAATGTGCTGGGCGCTAAAGCGAAAGCCACATGTTGAAAGCAACCCGCCCTCAATGCTTGAAGCTCTTGCAGATGTTTCGAAACGAATGTGCGCGGCGCTAAGGAGAGAGCCACATTTTGAAAAAGACCCGCCCTCAATACGTGAAACTCTTGCAGATGTTTCGAAACGAATGTGCGCGGCGCTAAGACGAGAGCCACATTCTGAAAACGACCCGCCCTCAATCCGTGAACCTCTTGCGAATGTTTCAAAACGAATGTGCGCGGCGCTAAGGCGAGAGCCACATTTTGAAAACGCCCCGCCCTCCATCCGTGAAACTGGTGTCACTTCTTAAGCTTCAGAGTCATAAGTGGTGAGGAAGTCTCAGGCGAAACGCCCGGCCCGCCAGAAAAACTGGCCTCGGGGTCCAAGAACGAGAAATTAGTCATGAGGGGGAAAAACAGGAGGAGGAGGAAGAAAGCGCCCGGGTCGGAAAATCATACTGTCAGAGGGCCCAGCCGTGTGCAGTTGTAATTACCGCCGCTCAGAGGATCGTCTTCGGTGGAGCTCCCTCTGGGGCCACGAAGCGTGTGAAGGGTGTGCCGACATGGGAGGTGAACCGAATGCGAACCCTGCCACTGGGGCCTTCGGTGGGGCTCCCTATGGGGCCACGAAGCGTGTGAGGGTGTGCCAAAATTGGCGGAGAACCGCATGCGAACCCTGCCACTGGGGCCTTCGGTGGAGCTCCCCATGGGGCCACGAAGTTGGTGCGGGAAGGCTTTGCGGACCCTGCCGCTGAGGCCTCCGCTGGAGCTCCCCATGGTGCGACAGTGTGAGGGATGCGCCGAAATTGGCAGGGAAAAGCATGCGAGCCCTGCCACTGGTGCCTTCGGTGGAGATCCCTATAGGGCCACGAAACGTGTGAGGGAGTGCCGACATGGCGGTGAAACGCATGCGAACCCTGCCACTAGGGACTTCGGTGGAGCTCCCTATGACGCCACGAAACGTGTGAGGGGTGTGCCGAAATTGGCAAGGAAACGCATGCG